AATGACAATAAAACACATGTGAATATTGTAAAGGAGATAGCATTCATGTAATTTTTATAAAATAGAATTTATACATTCACTGAACAGATTGAGTAGAACCGTGATACGTTTTTTTCGGTATTGTTTTGAAACACTAAATGCGTTATAATACATATCCCCCAAATGACCTGGTATGGCCGGGGGTGGGGGAAGTAAGCTCTCCTTCTTGAAATGCTCTCACATGGCTACGTGCATACAACCACTACCAGGGAAGTACTACTCACTGCCTTCAAGCGAACAGACAGTTAATTAAGAGATTGAGAGGACAAAAAGAATTTCCAGCGCTTCAACCAGATTGGTGGACGCGGAGGGTTCACCTAGGGGATTTGGAAAACCCTCATTCTAAACCGATGTTGCACATGGGCTCCAGGATCCCAAAAGATGAGAAGTCGTATGAACCTATTGTCGGTCACCGACTACCATGCGACTGAGTCTCCTGACGTCGCTCCACTTCCCTATGGATTAGACCTCTAAGTCAAAGACTTATCGCGTGGCCCTCTAAGAAAATCACCTGCTTCGGTTTAGGCATCCGGGCAGTATCGCGGCCGTCGCACAAATCGAGTGATTTATGTAGTGCATTTCTACTTGATGCCTCCTTGTACCAATGTTCACGTGTTTTATGTGATATAACATCATTTCAGATAGAATGAGTATGTGTAGCACATAAAGATCAACATAAATCAATTTTTATATTTTCTTAACTTTATTTTATATATACATTACCACAGGTAATTGGTATATCGAATATAATTATAACAATTTGGGAGAATCATTTGTACACGATGTTGTTGCATATAATCGATTAGAATTATTACGTTTATTTCTTGCATATAATTATGATTTGGATAGACCAGCTAAACGTCTTCCACCGAATATACATTTACTTTCATCTTTAAATCATCAAACTCTATTGAAAAATACACAAAATACTATTACAACATCAATGATTCAATCAGAATCAAATAATCGAACATCTATAAATCCATTTGAAAAATCACCATTTAAAATGGCATTAGAACGTGGACATCTTGATATGGCTAGAATATTAGCTGAAGTCGGTTGTTTTTGTACACATTTACCAATTAATTCAAATAGTATACCATCAGTATGTGCAACTTCATCTTCATCATCATCATCATCATCATCATCATCATCATCATCATCATCATCATCGTCGAACAACAATAATATTCCCGAAACGAATTCAATCAATTCAACAGTTAAAAATTCTCATTTGATTAATCAAAATCTTTTAACACGACGTTATAATGGTTTACTTGAAGTTAAATCATTACAAAAATGGTGTCGTAAAGTGATAAGACAACGTTTAGGTTTTCGTCTTATTGAAGCATTACCATTATTACCTATACCAGTACCATTAAAAGATTTTCTATTACTTCGTGATATTGATTGGTCAATTTATTTAAATAATATTCATAATAATAATAATAATAATAATAATAATAATAGTAATAATCGTAGTTCTATCATAAATTCAGGGGAATTAGCCATTATAGTACCAACTTAATCATTCTCTTCTTCTTTCCTTTTCTTTCTTTTCTTTTTCTTTTATAAAGAAAGTAACATTTGACAACACTTTCCTTCCTCTTTTCTTTTCTCTTTTTTAAAGAAAAAAGAAAAGACAAGAAAACAACAACAACAACAAACTTAATAGATAAACAAAAACATGATCAGGTTCAATTGTCTGATCTTTCTTCTTGTTCACAAGTCTAGATTAGTAGATTTTCACATGATTACATAATTTATTTACAAAAAAAAACAAAAGAACTCATATTTAGGTTTATACAATTACATATAGAAATAAATTATATAACAACATCATAGGAGATTCATACTTATTATTATTATTATTATTATTATTATTATTATTATTATTTGAAGTAACATGGAACTTATAATAAGATACGTATCTGTGCCAATAAACATTGAAATATATTTCTTGTATTTTATATGTGTGTTTTATTTATTTATTTGAACATAGAAATATTAATACAAAGGGGTATCGAATACATATGCGCACCTCACATTTCACTTGATTTGTGTGTGGGCCGGGATGATGCCCGGATGTCCAAACCGAAGTAAGTGATTTTCTTAGGGGACCATACCCAGAGCCTACGACATAAAGGTCTAATCCACAAGGCAGTGGAGTAACGTAAGGAGATGCAGTTGCATGATAGCCAGCGCTAATTGTTCCCTCAGGATCCTGGAGTTCATGTGCACCATTAGTTTGAAATGAGGGTCTTCCAACTCCCTTATGTGGATCTATCATGTCCATCGACTCGGTTAAAGTACCGGACATTTGCTTTTCGTCCCTCAATTTCGTAAACAACACACCTGCCTAGAGAAAACAGTGAGAAACACTTACATGATAGTGGCTGTATACGTGTGGTCATGTGAGAGTTCTTATCGGTTTTGCTTCTCGCCTAGCCCTGCCTGTTAAGTCCAGAACACCAGTCTCAGCCTCTGAGATATGAATCATGTATTTCAATCATACTGGGTTTATATACAGGTAAACCAGATCACATCATACCATAAAATAGCAAACAACATTTGTACAAGATTTGACCAAATGTGGCTGTGAGTGTGGGAGGTAGTGATTAATACACAGAGCATAATTCAAAAATGGTAAATCGTATAATAACAGTTCATAGGTTAAAATAAGGCGCATAATAAGAGAGACATGAATATGTATAGTTTAGTTATTCAACAATTATATGATTAAAATGTACGCATAGTATTGGTCCATAAATGGATCCCGAAAGTTGCCATTCATTATGCTTATCAGGACATAACAGAAATAACATTGACAAGCATCAGAGGACTAGAGTCTAGTAATCTTTATCATAAATTCAAGGCTCTAATACAGATTATGATTATATCAACATCGTCTATTTTGAAGTCTATATCATTAGACTTGATCATAGATCAGTTTAACAGTTAAATACTTTATAGATTGGCATTGTGTTTTGACTTAGTTTACCTTGATGATAACCAGAATAGTAAATTGTGGAGCTCACAGTGGTGAAGCATGGATATGTAGATCACTTTCATAAATAAAGGCCCATTTCATTTTTGTTTTATACTATGTATCATCATTTTTCCACTATTATTTCATTAACTGATATCTTTTTAACCCCTGTCAACTTATTGATTTTTTGCGTCAGTATCTAATGCTATTCATCGCCTTTACCGTTTACATGATACGCTATCAATGCTCATAATCATTGTGTCAACTTTATCAATACACGTTTAAATTACCTTAGCTCACTATGTGTTTCGAGTTCACTGAACTGATTTACCGTACATAATATTTATTTGATATACGCTACCGGAACCCAATAGTCTCTACCGACTTGTTAATAGGAGTTATCGATATTGTAATGGGAAACTATAAATTGTTACCATGCTCTGCTCTTCATTGGAGGGGTTGACAGTATTTTACATAGTTGTACTTTCTATTTCTTTTTTAATTCTATAGTTTCACGTAAATTGATTTTCTCTATTCGTTTGTCTACTTTCAATGATTTTATGATAGGCAAGTCTTGTTTCATGGAATTATAGAGAATTTAAAGTGAATTATCCAAGTTTAATCGAAGAACTACGTGTTGGCAACTATTTTTTACGTTTATTGCTTGAAGAAGACCGATATGTGAATGAAGTAATTGATGCCATTTATTATCATCATGGGGATATAACACCTCTTTTTTTTAAAAAAGTTGTAGAAGTGTTTATTTGGTAAGAATCGAAGTGTACAGAAAATCACGGGTATTTATAGATATTAGCATTTGTGAAATCTTTATGATTCAGCCAATCCGTAAAGGCATATTATGCTACTGTCCAATAGTACCATGCCACGTTGATATTCTAGAAAGCTCTATCATATCCTGATTGGTTGGAAACTCCTCGGCTCCTTTAGGGCCTCTGGAGGCTCCGTTGTAGTTTTCAGAAGCCGACTCAACAGTGTGAAATGAAATGATTGCCAAAACCGCTCTTATAGATGTGTAAGGATAGTATACAGTACAACAGCTTGAGTAAAAGTGAATACTTCTGAGATGATATATTCACTAAGACAATAAACTCCAAGAAACCTGGAAGTCATGTGAGGTCGTTTAGGATACTACTTACAAACATATAAAACCTTGTAAGTGATGATGTTTATAAGTTATTTGAATGTTCTTTATTGGCCTCAAGACAAAAGAACTGATAAGTGATCTTAAAAAATGCATCAGTAGAGGGAAAGCTATATAATTTGTAATTCACTCTACTTAACATCGTAAGTTGCTCAAATCAGCTTGTTTTCTGATTTATGAAAGTTTTCTTAAGGGCATTTTATCGATCGTTATAGTTAAATTTCACTGTTATACGCACTCTTATTAGTTTATGTAAGTTATTTACCAAGTACACATTTATTTATTGGACTTTTGTGCTGAACTGGGGATCCACCAGTTAGAAGATAATTGTTTCGACAATAAACTTGCATATTCTAGCCATAAGCAATGTTTCGCTCTTTTATCCGTAAAGATCTGAAACTTTATATATGTATATATGATCTTAGTTTCTAAAATGAATCTAATGTACGACAACTCAAGTTTACAATGTATTTTCTGATCATATAAGTAGATTACTTAGAGTTGTATCAGGTAATTATTCACCAAATATTTTGTTAGATGATAATAAATTAAGTACTATTACATAATCAAAGTTACGAATATATTCGAAGAAATGATTTTCAGATACTACGGCCTAGGTTTGAACCCCACTCCGCATATATCGGTTTGGGCAATAGCGTAGGTTCGGCAGCCTTTACACTTTAATTATGATTCATACCCAAGTACCTGGCGAATGATATAAATTTTATTTTATCGATTCTGTAGTTGATCAGCGCATTAAGTCTATTTTAATTAGCACATTACCGACTCACACACGACGGTAGACCTTGTTTATTTGTTGCGTGGTGTTAAATCTAAGCGTCGTAACCAGGAACATAATCACTGACGAACAGTCTCTAATCTTTGATAGTGAGTGCTTCAGTTTTTTGTTTCGCAAGACTATGTCTTAAGTGCGCTAATCTGGAATCCTGAAGAGGAACGGAAGCTAGATCATCATGGAAAACCTGGAAGCACTGGATGACCATTTCGTCCTAGTATGGGACTCCTCAGCAGTGCCACCAAATGCCCTGGTGCGGCCGAGAGTGGGGAGAGTCCGCTCTCTATCTCCGGGTTGATGGACACAAAGAGTTCACCTAGGAAAGTTGGAAAACCCTGTTTCTAAACCAATGGCATACATGGTCTCCAGTATCCTGAAGAAACAAATGTCGTATGAACCAATCGTTGGTCACCGGCTACCATGGAACTGCATCTCCTGACGTTGCTCCAATGCCTTGTGGATTAGACCATTAGATCAAAGGCTCTGGGTGTGGCCCCGAAGAAACCACCTGCTCTGGTTCGGGCACCCAGGCAGTATCACAGCCATCACAAAAATCAAATGAGTTTTATGTAGCGCATATATA